AAAACAGAAGGCCTTCTACATACTGGATTACGGTGGATTCCTTTGAGAATTTTAATCTTTGCAGGTCCTGTTGGAGGGTCTGTGAAAAGTAAGGTGGGGGCTTGGTGAAACCCTGGGGCATGACTGTCCAGGCACATTGTTGATTCTGAACAATTTTGAGCCTTTTAGAACTTGGGATGATAAGGTGCTGGATTGGGCACAAGTGGGAACCTGAGGATAACAGTCTTATTTATGGCTCTGTTGTGGGGTGCTGTCAAGTTGGCTCTGACTCATAGTGACCCTGTGTACAACAAAACAAGATGCTGCCCAGTCCTGCACCATCCTCACAATCATTTCTATGCTGGAGCCCATTGTTGCAGCTACTGTGTTAATCCATCTCATTGAGGGTCTTCCTCTTCTTCAATGACCCTCTATTTTACCAAGCATTATGTCCTTCTGCAGGTACTGGTCCCTCCTGATAACAGTGTCCAAAATATGTGAGGCAAAGTCTCACCATCCTCGCTTCTAAGGAGCACTCTAGCTGTAAGCATTATGGCTTGAAGTTCTTATAAATGATAATAACACCAAGGGGTTTCTGAACAGGTAGGATGAGAGGGCTACAGGGACTAGTGCAAGGGACAGTGAGTTCCTTTTTGTCAGGCCCTCAATTATAGTTTTGAAAGATAACTTTTTACAGCCTCTTACTAAGAGAGAGCCAGTAATTCAAGACAATTTTGTCATTTTAACAGCGAAATGCAAATTCTAGTTTTGTGTCAGTAAACTATTTGATACTCTAGCTCTTTATCAATCTTGTAAATAAACCCATCAAATCTTAGTCAACTTTGACCACAACAAGCTTCTACAACTTTCCATATCCATTTAGGTTTCATCTTACACTTTCCTCTTTTCCTTTCTGGGACAATCAGTCATTTTACTTTAGGACAAAATTACACTCATTTTCCTTAACAAAACGCATCCCGCATACCTAGTCTAAGTCCAAGAGTTTAAGTTACCGGAAAGATCTTGGAAACTGTCTTTAAGCTGATATACTCTAAAACATAATTACTATTGAAATAAACTTGTCAGAATAAATTCACTTTTATTAATTTCTGGGAATTAAAAAAAAACAAAAACAAACCCATTGCCGTTGAGTCAATTCTGACTCACAGCAACCCTGTAGGACAGAGTATAACTGCCCCGCAGGGTTTCCAAGGCTGTAGATCTTTACAGAAGCAGACGGCCACATCTTTCCCCTGCGGAGTGGCTAGTGGGTTCAAACCACAGACCTTTTGGTTAGCAATTTATAGAGGTGCTTATTCATCTTTCAACCAATTAAGATAAAGATCTTTGAAGGGATATTATAATCTAGTTTGAGAATATCATTGGAAGTAGAAAGATACACATACATATACATAAAGATACACATATATACAGAGATAACATACATATACATATGGATATACATATATATAGACAGATATAACAGATAATACACACAAGACATAGCATACATATACACACAGACATAACATGCATATACATACAGACATAACACATGTACACATACAGACATGCCCATACATGTACATACAGACATAACATACATATACACAGACATGACATGCATATACATACAGACATGACATACGTATACATACAAACATAACACATACATACAGACATAACATACATATACATAGAGACATAACACATATACATACAGACATACATATACATTCAAACATAACACACACATACATAAGACATAACTTACATATACATACAGACATAACATACATATATACAAATATACATAAACATACAAATATACACATACATATACATACAGACACAACATACATATCCATACAGACATAACATGTATATATATTCAGATATCACACACACATACATACAGACACAACATACATACATATTCAGACATAACATACACATACATACAGACATCACATACAGACATCACATACAGACATCACTTGCATATACATACAGATATCACATACATATACACAGACATACATATGCATACCGATATATGTATATAGACATCATATACATATGCATACTGACATCACATACACATACATATAGATATAACACTTATACACACAGACATAACATACATATACATGCAGACATCACAGACATAACATGCATATATATGCAGATATAACATGCATATACATAAGACATCACATACATATACACATACACACAGACATGTATAGATATATAGAGACATATACATGTGCGTACTGACATCACACACATATATATACACACAGACATACATATGCATACAGATATACATTTATAGAGACATCATATACATATGCATACTGACATCACATACACATACATATAGATATAACATACGTATGTGTACAGACATCACATACACATTCCTATAAGTATAACATAC